CCCCCCCCCCCCCATGGATCTAGCTGCTCCTCTTGTCACGCGTAAGGCTCAAGTAAGGTTTTCGCTTTTTGCCTGGCCGGTCTTTACCCCGAGTGGCTAAGAGAAAACCACTTAATTCTTCTCCCTGAAGTTTCGGGCGAAGTCGTTCCGAGGTTCAACCTACTCTACTGGACGACCCTACCGTATACACTACAATACCTTCTTTACATCTACCGTACATACTACAATTCCTTGTTTACAGGTAAAGAACTTGAGATATTTGTTGTCGCTACATGGACACCCGAAGATTAGCCAAGTGCTCTCCTATCAACAACCGCAGTAGCGCCATTCTCAAGCCACCGCACCGCATTCTGGCAGCCGCCACAGATGAAATCAACCTCCTCTTAAGTTGACACTTCTATGGCAAACGGGGTACATACCTCGTTGCAGTGGCTGCCGGCAATGCTCAGCATGGTGATGAGCGTCTCTATTCTCCACCGACGGTCCGGTGCGTACCTTCCAGAAGGAAAAACAACAGAAAAAACAACAGCGGTTACCAGCGCGACCCCGAACTCTCGCAACCCTAAGCGGAACCTTCTGGCTTCACTGGGCAAAATGCATCCTTTATCTACACAGCAAAGCGTAAGAAACACACAAGTTCACTACAGTTGTTCATGAAGGCAAACAAGTGTGGTTGGTCCAAGTGCTGTCCGTCGCAGCAGCAAATTGAAACGACATCAACGGTGGGCACCAAGAAGAATCCAGCGTTGATATCGGTCAAACTTCCCCAAGCCGCGCGCTTCTCTACTTCATCGCGGTGGTATGCCTACAAATGAACCACGGAACGTCCCAACGCAGCGTCACGGATACACATACAACGACAAGGCATGCGGAATTCCCATGGCCATCAATGCACCAACGACAAGACACGGTTTTTCCCAACGCATCATGGAACAACGACAATGCACACGGAAGCTCCAAAGGCGATCACCGAACGACGACGAGATACAAGGAATGTCCCAAGGAAATCACGGGACAACACAGCAAGGCGCACGCACCTCTCTGCCGCAGCGGTGATCTTGTCGCATAGCTGCGCCTTGTGTTCCGGCATCGCCACCACGAGATAGTTGAGCATCTCCCGGGTGAGGCTAACCACCGTGCTCTCGTTGACGAGCTGCCGATCGATTGGACGGCGTTCAGAACATATATTTGAACGACGAACAACCACGCTAACCTCGATGTTGGTTTTCTTTGTTTGTTGCAACATTCGGCGCTCTCCATCTTAACGGCTCCTATCCCGTAACAACAACAACAACAACAACAACAACAACAACAACAACAACAACAACCGATACACATGCACCTGATGGATCAGCTCCAATGCTCGCTGTCGAATGGAGATGTCCGGGTCCTTGAGGCAGTCCACGATGGTGGACCGGTGCCGCTGCACAGAGGCCGGGTCCAGCTGCACCACCTTGCCCAGGGTCTTTAGCGCCACGTACCGGATGTTGTTATCGCGGTTCAGGAGGAACCTGGGAAAACCACACAAACGCCCCCCGCCCCCCGAAAAAGGTACAAAAAGTTCGGGAAAAACCTTCAAAACGAAACGCTTGAAGAAAGAGAGTCAAGACTGGGAAAGCAAAAACGACACAACAACGTGTGTAGTCCGAAACACGCAAGCGGAACAGCAGTGACGTTGAAGGTCAATCGAGATAGTGTGACTGGTAACGTGGTAGGGAAGACGCGTGCGATCAAACCAGCTCGTCCATCGCGCACAGCGTTGGTTTCTGACCAGAACGCACAAGAAGAAAACGAAGGCCAAAAAAGACCAACCTAACTTCTACAGCTCAAACAATGGCAACACCAACCAAACTACACTCAACACCGCCGACACCACCGACAACAACAACAACAACAACAACAACAACAACAAACAACAACAAAGGGACATTTCTCTCCCACTCACCGTCCCAAGATATTGACCGCCAGCACCTTGAGGCCGTTCTCGGTGTCGAGCGTCATGATCGTCTGCACGCACTCGTACAGGATGGCGTTGCCGGCGTTCTTGGCAGTTTCCGTGTTGCTCGCCACCTAAGGGGGGGTCGACGGGGAGTTGTACAGATATGGCGGCGGCGGTTGAGACCACTGACCTTATAGCGTCCTCGAGGTGCGTTGTTCCCACAGGGGGCTGAGTATATCTAGCAGCAGCGGTTTTAGTAGATTGGTGCTGGATAGAGACCGCCGGAACGAATAATTTTGTGGCAACGACAAGGGGAATGAACGACGACGACGACGACAGCAAGCTCATGTAAACACCAAGCCGTAGTAAAAAAAAAACATGGACCTCGTGTCCCTGCAATGCCGGGATGGAGCGATATGGGAGGCTTAAGTTTCACAATGACGAACCAGACGCCGGTCACCATCCTTCCGTTCGCAAAGCGTGTGGGGGGGAGAGGGAGGGGGGGGGGGGGGGGGGGGGGGGGGGG